AATCTGTCCGACAATGAAAATCCGTTGTATTGTAAAATTCGTTATATCAAAATTCGTTGTAGAAAGAGTTGACTGTAGTAATAATTCTCTATTTTATCTTGAATTTTAAATTAATGAAATATATTTAAAATAGAACTTTATAAATCTTGATATTTAACTTTATTATATAATATTAATGATCTAAAAGTAAAAATAGTTTTTTATTAATTAAATTAATAATTAAAATATTTCTTCTTTTATAAGAAATTATATAAAAAGTTTAACTTAATGATAATTTATCATCATTAAGTATATTAAAAATTAATCTATTTTAGTTTATTATTATTTTATATATAGTAGTTTTGCAAATCTTTATTAAATTTAAAATAAAAATAAAATAAAATACAAATTTAAATAATTATAAAAATCTCTATCTAAAATAATTTAAGACTGGCTCTACATATTTTTAAAAATTATATTTAATTTAAAATAACTTTATATTTTTCTAAATATTATATTTAACTTAAATTAAAAAATATAATTTTCAAATAAAACAAAATATAAGAAAGGACTTGATCACTATAATACTAAAAATTTAATCAATAAGATTTTAAATAGACTGATTTATTAATAAAATATAAATATTATAATACACTTTATATATATTTATTTAAAAGTTACTATCTAATTAGTATACTGTATTAATTTAAATTGATTATTTATCATTATTCTAATTAAATAATTCATTTTAAATAATTCATTATTATTTAATTAGAATGATATATTATTATTCTTATTAAATAATTTATTATTATTTAATTTAAGAATAATGTTCACCATTATTTTAATTAAATGATTTATTATTATTTAATTAGAATAATATATAGTTAAATCTTGTTATAATAAATTCTATATCCTAGACCTTAACTTTACTATAAGGCTTTAGTAAAGATTTTAAGAGATTTGATTAGTCAATTTACTATAATAAGAGTATTTTATTATATTTGTTCAAAAAGTTCATTATATTAAGAGTTTACTATATCAAGAGTTGACTGTATTATCATTCTTCTTAAATGATTTATTATTATTCTTCTTGAATGATTTATAACTAAAATATTATTTCTTATTTAAATTTAGATTAAATTAAATTTAGATTTAAACTAATTTATCAGATTTAAATTCAGATTTGAATTTAATTTATTTGTTAAATTCAGATTTAGATCTAGATTTAACCTAATTTATTAGATTTAGATTAGATTTAAATCTATAAAAATGAAAATTAGATTAGATCAGATTTTATCTAAATTTGATTTTGTGAAATATTATATCTAGTATTATAAATTTTATTTACTAATTTAACTTTAGCTAAATTTAATTAACCTCTAAAATAACTATTAAAATGATAGAAAGGTCACTTTTAACCTTAGTGATTATTATTCTTTATTATTATTATACTATATCAGAATTATTACAATTTTTACTTATTATAAAAAGGCTTGAGATGAAATAATTTTATAAGATTAACTATAAGCTTTAAAAGTTTCTATTTCTAAATATAATACTAAAAGTTAGATGATTATTATATTTATATATAGAGCTAAGCTATTAAATTATTTTACAAGACTTTATTAACTAAAAATAAATTTTTTAATTTATATTATTATTTGATATATGAACTTTATTTGGTTAAATTTTTATAGTTGATTATCTATTAATAAAGTAAGCAATTAATTAGATTATCAAAATTTCTCATATTTTATGTAATATCAATCAAAAATCAAAATTAGATTTTAAAAATGATTAATATAAAATTTGAAAATAATTAATATTATTATTTAAAAAAATTAAAAAAGTTTTGAATTCTTTTAAAATTTAAATTTAATATAAAAATATTATTAATTATTTAAATAAGTATTTGAATGAGAGATCTAAGTATTTATATTATTTAATATTAAAAATACTTTGTTTATTTTTTTTTAAAAAAAGATAAACATGAAAAAATAAAATTAATTTTTTTAAATTTTAAAGTTATTAAAAAAAGAATTTTTATTAAATAATCATTTAATATTTTATATTAAAAATATTGTATTTAAATTTATTTTTTTAATGAACTTAGTATAATAATATTCTGTAAGATGATTTTAATAATAAAAATCTAAGTGTTATAAAATTGATTTTCAAGTATTATAAAAATTAGTATAATAATATCCTATAGGATAATTTTAATAATAAAATTTTATGTATTTTATATAATAGTAAAAAATTCTAAATATTATAAATAATAATTTAATAATAAAATTTTAAAATAATAAATTTTAATATTATCTTATTAGTTAATTTAACTTGATATTTAAAATTAGAATAATTTATTATTAATTAAAAATGTATTGTGATGTAACATTTTTTTAATCATTATTTATTTAAAATTAATTTCTTATTCCATAAGGTGATTTTAATAATTTAGCTCTCATACTTTTAAATAAATTCAGAAATTAAACCTGATTTTTACTTCTAATAATAAGATAGTATAATAACATATAATATAACCTATTTTTTATATAGCTATCTATTAGGAAGATATATAATTTATTAATTATTAATTAATCACTTTCTTATAAGATAAGGGCATCTATTATTTGAAAATATGAAATAGTGTTCATTATAGACTTATTAGTAAAAGTAAAATTTCTGTTGATCTCTAACTTTACTTATTCTTTAAACCTAGTACTTAAACATAATCAACATTAATTAATAGATTAATAAATCAGTTTCTAAAATATATTAATATATTGTATATATTTACATATTCAGTTACAATTAAAAATTTTAGTGAAAATCATATTATTTTATATTTTAGCTAAGGCTTAAACCTATAACTTTTATAATATAAAAAGAATTTAATTATTATTAATTTAAGTTAGGGACACTGATCACTTATTTATATTGTTATATATTTTTTTAATTGTGATAGTTTTACAAAATCTTTATTTATATTATTATAATAAATTATTAAACTATTGTTTATTTAATTTCTTTTTTTAGTAACAATTAAACAATTTTCTTTTTAAAACAATTTTAATTTTAATCTAATATTTATAACTATCTTTAATAAGTTTGTTTTGATTAATAAATTATTACTTATTTATTTTAATTCTTGTATTAATTTAATGTATGATAAAAATATTCTATCCAATTACTTAAGGTATTGATTTAATATATTAATAAATTATTCTGATATACTTAAAATTTATATAAATAACACAAACTTTATTTTTTTACAATAAAATTATCAAAATGCCATCAAAAGATCAATAAAAAAATTGTTCTAAGAACAAAAAGAATGTAAATTGAATTTTATCAATTAAACAGCTAACTTTTTAAATAATAAACTGATATTTAGTACTTTTTTATAATCGAAATGCAATTGCAGAACTAACTATCAAAATTGTCTGAAGAATATAGTTGCCTGGCAAAACTCATTTTAGCAAATTGCTAAAGTCGAAACCCTATATTTCAACGGATTTGTTAATAAGTATATAATATAGTTTTGACATTTGACGGGATTTTATTATGGTTTCGAGTTTCGACGGGTTTGCCAATAAGGTTTATTGCAGTTTTGCCAATGACCCCGTCGAATCCAAGAGTTTTGCCAGGCAACTATACTAAAGAATAAATTGATTTTATCATTACATTGATATTAAGTAAATATGTAAATATCAATCAAATTTAAAAATGATATAAGAATTTTAACTACCATCAAAATTTTGACGAAAATCACGTGTAGATAGTTATCACAATAAATATAAAGATTTGCTCATAAGTAACAATACTGTCGATCAAACGTTTTATAAATTTCTAAGCTTACGGATAAGTATGATAAATGATAAATAAAATTATAAACTATATAAATAAGAAAACATGCTTCATTCGGAACCTCAGGTCATTTACTATTTTTTAAATGAACTTGGTCATTTTGATTTGAAATTTATAATAAAAATGATGTCATTTGAGGCCATTTCAAGGTCATTATGCTTCGGTTATATGATGTTTTACATAACTTTGTTGTCAGTATGTAATATTTCGTTTCATTCAATAACAATTATAATATCTAAATACGGAGTAATTTAATTCTGAAAATTTTCGGTTCGTTTATAAAAACTTTAAATACAATTATAGTGCTTCGTTTACTATTTATGATTTGAAAATATTTTCAGGAGGATTACGTGCATCTATTAAATTCTTCCTTATTGCGATAAACACTTCTTCCGTGATTTAGTGTTCCGAGAAGAGTATATGTCGGAATTGGAGACGGTTAACTTATTAACGGTTAAAATAGTTAATTTTAACTACGATCGGCCAAAAAATAGCGAAAACTATTTTAGAAGTTTGGCACTAGGTATGTCTTTTAAGGCGGAATTATGATATTTTATGATGTGTGATTACTAAAATTTCGCTTTCCGACTAAATTTATAGTGCCTGCCTGAGTTAAATTTAACCGATTAAGAATATTCAGGCCTATTGAATAGGTGAGTTGAAAAGTAATGAAAGAAAAGATGAGAATATCGCCATTTTATGAAGAAATTTTTGATCGGCACTATGATTAATGTAACTTTTGCATGTGTTGAAAGTTCTTTATTAGTATATTAATTGGATATAAAAGAAGCGTTTATTTTTATATTATAGTTATTCGTTTCAGGATAAAGCCTTAGCATTCCTTATACTCATTAAATTATTTTAGAAAATCGTAATAATTGTTATATAAATATATTCTAATTTTTTTTTTTAAATTGTAATTCTATTATGAATTACGTTAATTTCTTGAATTATTGATCAAAAAAATTTTTGGTAACCTTTCTCAACTAGGAATTCTTTGACCATTACTCACGTGTTTCATAAATTTTTATCTCACACACCATAAACTTCTGCCAATTTATTTCTTTGTCAACCGATTCTTTACTATTTTCGTAAAAATTTTCCTCGTATTTTTGACTCGGGTTGTACTACAAGTCAGGCTTTACTACTAATAATCTTCATTATAATCACGTGGTTTGATTCAATAATCTTTATAGCAATAGAACATCGACACGAGTTATATTTCGATCGAATGTTTTATTATTAATTTGTTCACTTTATATCAAGTATTCATATTATTTTATTTGTTTTAAATTTTCCACCGATATTCGAATTCCTCCGTTAGCAGGATATATATTTTTTTTTTTTTTTTTTTTTTTGCAAAAGGCAGTAAATACTAGATTATGACACTTTTAAGGCAATTTGGATTCATTTATTTTTGTTTTTAATAAAAAGTCACTTGATAAATCAAGTCCAATTATTATTATATTTATAGATTGGGGCGAGTCATGGAAGTAATATTGTTCGTGCGGATTCGTTTCATTGTATTTAGAGATTTTTTATTAAAGTTTTAGTATCAACATTTTAGTACTAGAAACTGGATTCCATTAAGGAGTAAGGTAATGTGTAATCTATTTATTGTTGTATTATCACAGAAAATTTGGTAAGCTTGCTATGGTTTGCATCCATTCATCCTTTTTATCGTCAGGTACTGTACATTTAATAAATACTTAAAATTCGTTATATAACAATTAAATAATCAATTAATCGAATTATAAAATGCTAAGTAACGCGCTATGCGTTATTACCATGATTTGTGAATTATTTTTTTTTTAAAATGAAATGTGTCGAGGACATCTTTTATTAATATCAATGAATTTGAGAACAGGAAGCAGGTGGTTTTTAAAATTCTTTTAATTATCAGCGAAATTATTTGTCTTGCCTTATTGTCTTCCAAGTTTTTTGCTTCATTACTGAGCACCCTTTTATTTGTTCTTTTTGAGGGCAAATTATAATGATTATTGTATAAATATTGACGTTAATTTTAAATGAAAAATTTTATTAATTGACAATTTATGATAAAGCTTCAGATCCGATTTAACCGAAACATGTGGTGAGAGTATATGGATAATTACTTTGGTCAGCCGTTTACGGGTAAGTGAAAAATGGAACTAAATTTCTCATTTAATTTTGATCTAGAATTCAGGATAAACAATCGATTCTTTTTTATTCTTATAAGAAGCTTGGTACTTTTGTCTTATGTCTTATGGAAGTTTGATTAAAATTTTTGTTTTTTCGGATATGTGAAGGTTGATAAGAAAGAGAAATAAGACTGATATGATTTCCATGTCAATTTTGCAACCGTCGATTGTAAATTACAAGATCACTTACTATGATATATAAAATGCCTAGAAACCCAAAAATCTTTTCAAGAACAAGAATGACTTTTAATAATTTAGTCTCAGGAAGGAAGAGGAAGTAATGAGCAAGCAACCAGTATTTTATTTTTTTTATTTTAAAAAATTATGATCTGGACATATCGACTTGAAATTTATAATAAAATTGGTCATTTAAGGTCATTTGAGGTCATTTCAGGGTCATGTTCTAGACATAGTCTAGAAACTTAAAGTTGGAAAATCAAATCAACGATCTATCGTTTTATAGAGTATACTCAACAGAAGAAAGATGATCCCAACAGATCCATAAAAACGTGATCTATCAGGTCTAATGGGTATGGAAAAGACGTATTTCGCCAGGTATTCTGAAAATTGACGCACTCATTGATGAACGAGAGAATCGAATACAACTTTGATTTTTAATGGTAAATCTAATTAGATACAATTTATATGTAATAATCTTTCTAGGAACATCATTATATAGAAGACACTCGCGCCAAGAATTTTGGACCCGTGGTAAAAAAAAAAAAAAAAAAAAAAAAAAAAAAAAATAGACATTTTAACTTTAGTTCGAACTCAAGCATCGATGAAAAATGACTAGACTTATGAAGTTTCGTAGATGATAACTAAAATTGTTACCAATATATTATAACAGAGCCACTTGTTATACTATTTCCTTTGGTCATATTAAACTCAAAGGCGGCGCTAAACAGTTTGTCAATCCGTTAATCAAATGGTATTATTTAACTATATAAATAAAATCATTTCAATCACACCTTTTTTTCAGTTATTTTGAAATCACGAAACAGTATAATAGTCATTGGCGCAATAAGACTTGTTGTTGTGATGTTAATAAGTGATTCGAATAGAATAATAAAATAAATCGTCTCAAAAGAGAAAATTAACGTTCAGGTCGTTTTATTCGGCAAAAAAGAGAATATATGACAAATGGATTTTTTTTTCCCCGAGTCGAAAAAAATATTGTTAACCCTTTCGAATTGAATTGTAATTACCTCAATATTTCTGCATACTTTTTTCTTTTTCTTTTTTTTTTTTTTTTTTAAATAAAATCATAATATAATAGTGAAATGAATGAGCTTAAATTTGCCGAATATTTTCAAAGAATTATGTTATACGAATATATGAAACATTAGAAATTCATATGTATAAATTTATTTAATTAGCGTTAGGTTATCCTGATAATTTGTAACGCATTCGCCATGTTTGTCATAAAGCGGAACTATTATTATTTTTTTTTAAAAAAAAAAAAAATTTTTTGATATAATTTTCTTGCATAAATTTTAATAATAATGATATTGATAATATATAGAGAAAAGTTTTTATCTCAGAATGATGGTTTGCATTAAACAATATGTTGACATAGTATAACAACAATGCTTTTAGGAAGCGAATTTTCAAAGAATAAGTTAAGATTTTTTATATTTATACTATCAACGCTTTCGTTTAAATGACCAGCTTATTCTTTAAATTGATTTTTAAAAATACTAAAATGTATGTAATTTAGATTATTAAAGAATAACCCTAAATATAGTATATATGACAGTCTGTCATGTAATAATTTCTTTTCAAAGATTAAATTCTTCAATCCTTCAGGAACGATAGTTATACGTTTTTAAAGTTAATATTGTTTTTATTGCCGCGAATTATCAGACCTTCAAGAATTCGTTATGAGGACATAAAATACATTGCAAGGTTAATTATTTACCGGAAATGTTATCAAAAATTGTATACATTGCTGTTGACAGAAGGTAATATTCTTTAACGAAATTTCAACTATTCCGTTAAAAGATAAAGAATTTGGCCGATTATCTATTACAGAACTTCTTGTATTTAAATGAGGTTCTTCGATATAGTGTTATTTTAATTGTAAGACAAATTTCTAACACTATATTTACTTCCCGATCTAAAATTCAATAATAATTGACTCATCAAGGGGCTTTTATTGAATTTAGTGATTTCGAATTGCCTTAATAATGTCATAATTAAGTATATATTTCCTTTTGCAAAAATCATATAAAACCATTCAGAGGATATTCGATTTATAAATGGATTTGAAAAATTTGAAACAATTTACTTCCAAAAATAGAATAAAATGATATTAATAAAGATTATTAGGTCAAAACCACGTGATTAAATTATTAGCAGTTGAATACTCAAGTAATATCTGATATTTAGTACAAGCCAGGTCAAAAATACGAGTATGTTTATCGAATAGTAAGCTTATTTGATACTCAAGACCTTATCAGGATACTTTTACGAAAATAGTAAAGAATCGGTTGACAAAAAAATAATAGACAATGATGTTTATGGTATGTGAGATAGAAACACGATGAGTTAATGGTCAAAGAATTCCTAGTTGAGAAGACGGCAAAGATCATTTAGTTTTGGCCCATAATAGAATTGGTGATCAAAATTTTCAAATTGTTTTTTAAGGATATATAAGTCAGAATCGAAACAATAATTACGACTTTCTAAAATAATTTAATGGAATAAAGTATATGGAATGCTAAGGCTTATCCTGAAACGAATGACTATAATATAAAATAAATAGTCTTTTTTATGTCCAATTAAATATACAAATAAAGAATTTTCATCGCATATATCAATCATGTGCCGATCAAAATTTCTCTATAAAAATGCCATTACTTTCAACCTATCTTCAATAGAGGTTTGAAATTAAAATCCTCAAACGGTTAATTACCGGCTTAAATTAACTCCACTATAAATTTAGTCAGAGCTAGCGAAATTTTGTAATCGCATCACAAAAGTCAACTCCTAAACTAGTTTCGGATTAACCTATTTATTATCCGAAAATTAAATTTCGGCCGGAATTAAAATTAATTGTGAAAGAAATCTTTAACCGGTTAGCAACAAACCCAAGACTTGGAAGAAGTTCTTATTGCAAAAAAAGACTTCATTAAATGAACATCTCTGACATGATAGATTTAATTCCACAGTTTGTTCTTATAAATGAGATGAAAAAATTTCATTCCGTATTGTATTTCAGTAGTCCTATTGTAATAATGGAATGGGACGATATTTTGCATACCGACATAATGTGTTTCTGTATCAAAGTAAACATCAAATAATCGAAGCAAGTATTCATCTTGGTTTAATAATGGCTAAGCTTTTAATTAGATTAGATTACCGTTTTTTTATTTAGAAAATAAAACATATCAAACGAGGTTGCTTGAAAGGATACATAAAAAAAAAAAGTTCTCTAACAAAGTTTTTGAAACATGTTTAGAAAGGAAGTACTTAATGGGAATATTAACGGGAGAATTGTTCCATAGTTTTAAGAGGGTTG